AACGCAAAATCTCCACAGTCTTTGCATGAGAAATACAAAGCCCTTAAAGAAATTGAAAACGGCTTGTCTAAGAAGGAAAGGGCTTCAAAATATAATGTGGCTCTGAATACAATATCCACGTGGTTAAAAAACAAGGAAAAGATCATCAATGCTGTCGCAAAGGGAAAATACCCCAAGACGAATAACCTAATGGGAGGAAGTTATGACAAATTGGATCAGGCAGTGTACAAGTATTTTCTTAATGTGCGAAGCCAGAACATCCCTGTTAGTGGTCCAGTGCTTAAAGGGCAGGCGAAGGCTTATGCGAGACAACGACAGATAGCCAACTTCAAGGGATCTGACGGGTGGCTTGACCGATGGAAAACACTGTATAACATTTAAAACTATTGCCGGAGAGGTCACAGTCATGTACACCTGAGATGACTGCATCGTGGGAGGAAACTACCTTGCCAACTATTAATAATGTGTCAAGCTACAACCTTGCTGACATTTATAACGCTGATGAGTTCGGGCTATTCTGTCAGGCTCTGCCTGAGAAGTCGCTCCACCTTAAGTCTGAGAAATGTATGGGAGGAAAACAGTAAAATTCGGTTGACGGGAATGGCTGCTGCAAATGCACCGGACGAAAAACTTCTTATGTTTGTGATTGAAAGGTCGGCCAAACCCCGGTGTTTCTCTGGAGTGCGGAATATTCCATGCGGATATAGAGCACAAAATAAAAGTTGGATGGATAGCGTCCTTTTCGAGGAGTAGATTAGAGAAAGCTGGACAGCAAGTTTGAAAGAGAAGGCAGAAAAGTTGTACTTATTGTGAACAACTATCCAGCTCATCCACCTGTAAAGAATCTTAAAACTATTAATTTAGTGTTTCTGCCGCCTTGTACCACATCCAAGACGCAGCCCATGGACCAGGGCGTGATGAGAGCTCTCAAAGCTCATTACAGATCAAAAGCTGAACAAATGTTCATAACTGCAATTGAGAACAATAGGCCAATCCCAAACGTCAGCATCCTAGTTGCTATGGATATGCTTGTTGCAGCATGGGACAAAGTTACGCCAGGAACCATCAACAACTGCTTCAGAGCAGCCGGGATCTCACATCAGTCCCAAGAAAGCTCACTTTCTGATGACGACGATCCATTCATGACTTTGGCGGAAGAAATCAATACCTTAAGGGAACGAGCACCTGAACTTGCACCGGAGAATGTAACAGCAGGCTTTGTTGTGGAATGTGGTGATGGTGCGGCTACTTTTGAAGCTGATCCCCCAACTGATGAGAATATACTAGCAGAGTTTAACCACTCAGCGGATTCAAATGAAGAGGAAGAAGGAGAAATGGACAAGGACGAGATTGTGATTGTAGACGAGCCGCCAAAACCACAAACACAGTGTGAACTGCGGCATGCAATCTGCGTGCTTAACACATTCAGCTTTTTGGCTGATGATGCGCACCTCGATAATCTGCGCAGAAGTACCAGGGACATTTCTCAAATCATACACCAGAGTTTCTCGGTTGCAAAGAGACCAGTTATTACAAATTATTTCAGCTAAATTCAGTGAGCGCTGTGTACACACTCTACACGACATGTGTTCTGTTATGGTCCGCTTTTGTTTATTAAGTACGTTTTGTTTGTAAAGAAAGGTCAAGATCAACATTAAAAAGGGTGTATGTTAAAATTCGAACACTTACTCATAATCAAACAATACGTGGCTATTAAGCGTAATTTGATGCCACCTTCCATTTCTCGAACCAATTTGCGTTTCACCTGGAGGTTTGAGAAATCGGGATTCCACTGTACATGCAAACGTTGACGACGGCAGTTGTCACGCAACACACACAAATTTTACATTTCGTAGAGTGTATCAAAAATGTCACGCAAGTCGCTTCAAGCAGAAGGGAATCAATGCGATGAGCTTTTGAAACCAAAGTCAGGCGAAAAGCCAGTGGTAACAAAATCGTATCACCGGACACACTGCCGCAAACTTTATCGTTCATGCGAATTTTTTTGTTACAAGAGTGCTGCCATACTTCATGCCAAAACATTTTTCATTACAGCATGATGTATATTGTGCCCTATTGGTGTGCTGCAGCGAAAACTGTTGACGAAAACAACAGGATGTTATTTGGAGGTGTTTACACATCACATGATCCAAATCCTGTGACTGGCGAACAAAGCTGCCCGCACAGGTTTTACGCCTTGCCGTTTGGAAGCCATTCTCACGTTTGCTTGAGTGACGATTATGAACTCGCATATCAGTTCGCGCTGCGTTTTGGCGGATTTTTCAGTTGTTCGTCTGGAAACCCTCTCGCTGTTCGCAAAAAGGACTATCGGCAAACAAGCGGAAAACCCACACCCAATAAATCTCCAAAGGAGGAATTGGCAGGGGTAGAAAATGACCCACAAAGTTGCTCACGCGGGTACACCCTGCATCTTCTAGCAGTTGACAATGAATGTGAGATAAACTATTGCGTAAAGGTGAACTCTTTAGCGAAACTTTCTCGCACGGCTGTGAAAAGACCTCCCTATAGTGCTCGCCCAAGAGCCAACCCGAAGGCGACAAAAACGCTTTTGGTTATTGGAATAAATGGCGAAGTTTGGTACAGGAACGATTCGAATGCTGATTGGACTCTTGCCTCGTTTGCGGCCCAAGATGACGATGACTCTTCGGAAGATATGGTATCAGAAGACCAAATCAAGCCCATGTCCCAAAGCGTTACAATTGCACTTAGCATATGCGCAACAAGTTTGGCGGGAATTTTATCCATAGCCGCCTACATCAGTTGCAAGTATCGCGTAAAGACGAAAGAGCACAGGGCGTCTTCTCTGAAAGAAGTGCTCCTGCCTGATGAAAAAACACCGCTGAACAACGATAAAACATCTGAGACATCCTGATACACTTGAAACGTACTTGTACTATTACTTTTGAACTTTTCATAATGGACGATGATGACTAAATATGAGAATTTGTAAAGATCGTGATGGAATTTTTTTTAATGTATTTGCCCATTTTGCTTGTCCATTATTGAGTCAGTTTGCTAGACATAACGTCTCGTAGTCACGTTCACGCTTGTCCATTAATCTAGTGTATGTATATATAAAACTTGTAATAATTTTGATCAAGAACTGCCTCTGAAACAATTTCAAAATAAAAAAAACCATGGAGGCTGAAAAATAAAGGGAGTTTTTTCTAATTCAACAAAACAAGCAGTGCTTCCCGTGGAATTCGCTATAAATAGTCTAATAGGGTCTGTAAAGATAATGCCGTGTAACGCACTTCCGTATGAATGGCAAGGCATGCAATAAGTAACACAGTTGTCAAACTACGAGCATGCGCCAGGTATCAAATAGTGGCCGTTCGCGCGCAACACAGTGGTTAAACCTCGGGCATGCGCGAGGGATCAATTTTGGCGCACCAATTTTTCGCAAAAATTTTCAAGGGAAAACACTAGGAACAACCACTGTCCCGCACAAAACAAGTGAACGATAGTTGAAAAGTTCATAGAAATCTGTAAAAGGAAGAAAAAAAGAGGGAAAAGGAAAACTCGAGACTTTTCAACGCAAAGCATCTTCAAGTACGGAAATCATGCTGATTTACAATTCTGTATTGAGCTTTACCAGTTATACGCTAAAACACCGTAACTTACTGGCTTGTATGGTTGTTTGTTAATCATGTGAGACAACTTAGTTCTGACAGCTCGATTGCATGCCCCCTACATGTAGTCATTACACTGTTTGCACATGCGTGGACTTTTGACCACTGTATAGTAATAAGTACACCTAACAAAGTTACTGTACTTACTCCTCTAAAACCATTCCTCCCCGAGACTTGGCTCGGGTGTGTTGAGGTATACTATAACATTTCAACCTTCTCACGAGTATCAGATACCGAACAGTGATGAAGCACTTTTTTTTTCTTCCTCCTTTTCAAGACTTAATGAATAATTTACACGGGTCTTGAACCACACCATTCTCATTCAAGAACTCGAGACTGCACAAACTCTGTGGATGACTGTTTGATAATTAATTTTCAGCGCATTGTACCTGGCGATCAAAGCTTAAATTTGGCCTGACAAACATTACATGTATGTGTAGCACTAAAAGTCACTAGTACATGGTAAATGATTGCTGACCACTGGTAAGTACAGTCATTAAATATTGGAGCATTTGATCTTGATAATCTGTCTTCAGTTTCTTTCTAACCAATAGGCTCTTGAGTCTCACAGTAGGAGGGCACTTCCTGCTCCATCTAATTTGGAGGTGGTCGACATTCATCACTCTGGACTAGTCTCTATCAATGAGAGTACCTCTTGGTTTCTTGGATTGATCCAGTTTAATCTGCAAGATAAAAATAAAACATTTATAAAATGTAGGGGCTTTTGATTGCTTATTTGTACCTCTGTCTTTGCCTTTCTACCTGTCCACTTGTCTGTTTGTCTAGAACTTTGTTTGTTTCACTGACCATCTCCCCCTCCTCTGCCTTACACTAAGGGTCTCTCTCTCAGAGGGGACTCCAATAGGAAAACCTCTAAACAAAGTTGGCCCCTCTCCTACCACCTTTGGAAGTTTTTGCTCCTAACCCCCACCACCACCTTTCCCTCCTCCCAAATCTCCTCCAGCTTTGAGAAATGTCTTGGACAGTGCCTATTCAAAGACATATTTCATTTACAAAAGAACATGTGCAGTTTGAAATTGTAAAATGGACGGTTAATAAATGGAAGGTCATGATATAACACTCCTCACCTGGTCTATAGCTGCCCTTTTCTGTGCTGTTGATTTCCTCTCAAGTTGCTTTTCAATTATCTGGGCATTGTGAGCATATGATGATGCAACTTCATGCTAGAACAATGAAAAAAATTATATATATATATATTTGAGAAGAAGAAGAAAAATTGTGGTAAGCATGTTGAACTATTAAAATGCTAATGAGAACAATTACCATAAAACTGTGCCAAAATTTTATTCAGAGTCCATCTCACTTTCCTAACAGTCTCAGATTTCCTGGGCAAAGGGATAATTTTACACTGATTTCTGCTGACTGCACAAGAAATAGGTCAGAGCCTCTCACATTATACTCATTTACTGGTAGCCTTGCATTACATCACCAAAAGTGAGAAACCAGTAGCACTTTATGCAATCCCCCAAACTTAAATAAAGGCCGTTTCACACATTTCAAAGATAATTATTTTTCAGATACCTTTTTCCATTTTAAAAGCCAAAGGTTCAAATATGCCCCCAAGTTACCTCTACAGGTTATCTACTAGGAACACTCAAAGCTCACTAACCTGCTCAATTTCTTCTTCTTCCTCATCAATAGTAGACACAGTTACAGAGCTAAATTTACCAAATTCCTTTGTTCTCTTTGTTACCATAACCTAATCAAGGTACAGTTAAAGTAAGAACAATCCATGACAAACAGAATAAAAAAACTAACAAACACATTGTTGCTGCACTCATATTTAGCTTTTTGAAATTCCCTGACTTTTCCCAGAAAACTTAAAAAATGAATAATTTGATAGATGAGTCCTGATCACGTCTCCAAATTCCCCTCAAAACCAAAGCTATCTACTCTACCCATAAATTCGTGCTTTAAGCAAGTTGTACATAATGCTCTTGAGTAGATTATCCCTTAATTTAACGCAGAGGAAATATTTACTTTCAATGCACCCTACGGATGTTTATGTTTAAACACCCCAGTTCACCCTCAAGCCTTTCTTTCAAGGTCTTGTGGGGCCTTCTGACTTTAATAAGCTCACTTCACCTCCAATCAGCAAGAAACCTGTTGACACAATACACGTGAACCACTGAGATCACAATATTCTGGAAAAGTGCATCCGTCACATCCCTGATACCCTTGCTTTCAACCTCTTTCTCCCGGCACAATGCTTCTCTTTGGTTTTTGTGATTGTGCAACAATCAATAGAGAAAGGAACTTGTGTATCGTAACCAAATTCACTTCCATTCAAATTTCACTTCTAAATACTTCCTTTAAAGTGGCTTCATGGATGCTGTGTCAACAAACAGTTGGGGCTGATTGTTTGTTGTACAGCTGTTTGTTAAATAGGTAATTCCTTTGAGTAATATACCTTATTTGCCTTGGGTTTGACAGTTGTAGTGGCTTGGTTATCTCCACTTTGAACCAATGCTCCTAAAAAAAAAAAACACCAACAAACAGAGAAACTGACAAGTTAAAGGAAGTTCACAAACAAACAAACAATGCAGAATTTTCTCAAAGTTTTCTATAAACTTATGCCAGAAAAGAAGTTGGTTGAAAAAAGAAATTAAAAACCAAAATTTACATGTTGGCATGGCATTTACTGTTTGGCGAGTCTCCAAATTGTTCTTATTCAGTCATACTTTTCCCACAGTTTACAACTCAGACCTCAGGTTTGAGGTCTGAGTTGTAAACTTGTAATATGAGTTACATACATGATGAGCTATATTTGCTAATAAAACCTTTACACCAAAACATCAGCATGGATATTCGCCAAACTGTTCTCTATAAATACATTTCCCAACTGCAGGTGCCGACAGGGCTCGACACTAATGGTAGCCCACTAGCCACAGTCTAGTAGAAATTCAGTTTTGGCTAGTGGTTTTCAACTTCCACTAGCCAGTTTGGCTAGTAAACAGACTGAAATTGTTGTAACATCTAAAAACATCTAAGATGTCACTAGCCACTTGGCTAGTAAGTTGAAAAGTAAGTGTCGAGCCCTTGCTGACAAGGAGAATTTGTTTAACCATCAAGAGCTTCTTTTATTGGTAATCATTTCCATTATGCTTGTGACCTTGGGGCTTCACTCAAGGGTGATATTGCAAGGAGAAATTAGATCCTAGTCATTCCTGGAGGCTAAATGGACAAAGACACTATACAAGCATACAGTTATGAAATTGCATGATAGATTTCCTTACCGTCTACTACAAAAGTAACAGTTTGATCTTTCTTTGATGATCTGTAAAACAGCCATAGCTTACACCTGTTGTAAACAAATGTAATCCCCCACTAACTATCAATTATTAGCAGCATGACAGTATGTAAATTATCCAACAACATGTCCAAAAACTTCATGTTTGTATCAAAAGTATACAGATTTTAGACTAAGAAAATTCTCAATTTCTAAATCTGTCATTACTTTTTCTCAGCATACATTCGCATTGAGCAATCTTATTACCACATGCATTGAGTTTGTTTCTTTGTTATTACACCCTGACATCAGAATGAACATGTGTATTCTTCATGCCGTTCTCTTTATATTTCCTTTGTTACATTTTGTTTAATCTCACGATCTTAACCATTAAAACCCTTTAGAGTGACCAAGGCGTAATTTCTCTTTTCAATATCACCCCTGAATCACACAGTAAGGTCACGAGAATAGAGGAAATAATCACCAATTAAATAAAAGATCTTGACTGTGACACAAATTCTCCATGTAAGCAGGACAGGAAATGTATAGAGAACAGTATCCAGAGCTTGCATCGTGATATTTGCGTGTAAAGGGTTAATAAATGATTCAGAAGTATTCATAAAAGTAAAGACAAGGGGAAATAACATGCTGGTCGTTCTCAGGAGTTAAATGGTTTAAAAAAATGAAGCCTATTTGATTAAGAAAATCAAAAAAAATAAACAAATGAACTAATTAAGGGAATGAAATAAATGAAAAATAAACTGTCAGATAAAGAATAATAAATGCGCAGTGCAGTTTTTCACTCACTTTTTGCATTTTTGGCGGAATTGTCTCTCAATGCCTCCTGGCCTGGAAAAAAAGGAAAACAGTCACTTCATTATAAGTAGTAAACCACAACCGCATATCAGGATTGCAAGTAATTACTGAACATCAATGTAAATGAAGTCATACTATTCAAAGAAATTAGAAAGAAAGAGGACACATTGAAGTTGCAACCACAGCAATCCATGTAGATGTAGTTGTGCTTAAATCTGAATTTTTCTTATGTGATGAATTGATCTTCACAAGTCAACTGTTATAATAGCAAAAAACAAAGTTTAAAAATTTAAGCTTTCTCCCATATTGGACCTGTCCCTTCCAGATACTTCACCCTTTAACTCCCAGAAGTGATTAAAACGTAACTTCTCCTTACAATATCCATACATTTTCCAGCAAAACAGGTAATGAAATCCCAAGACTTATCAGAATGAAGTTTTCATCTTGATCTAACACCAAAATTTGGTAACCAATTCAAACTGAAATGTGTCGTAGCTAGAGGGGAGTACTACAATCAGATCATAAGAGTTAAAGTGTTAACAAACTCTGCTACCAACTGAGCAGCAAAGCCCCATTTTGAAAGCAAGGAAATTATGAGAACTAATACGTAGCCTTCTTAAAAGACAGTATAAAGACTTCCATGCATTTACATTCCGCAATTCGGCAGGGTAGAGGGAAAAGTACCTTTTCAAAAAAACGGTGTCACCATCGTCACAAGTGAGCTTGTAAGCATGTTTTGAACCATCGATGACTCGTGCATGGTCTGTTCTTCGCAATGGAAGCTTTTCAAGGGTACTGTCTAGGGAGATAACATGTGTACACACAGATTAGGACTACTAAAAAATTTACGAACTGTTTTTGGGCACAAAATTATTTCAAAACAGCTTCCAAAGCACAAAGAACCATGTTATTCTGTTTTACGAACGTTTGATAAAATGAGCCAAATTTTTAAAACTCATACCGAGAATCAAAGCCATCTGTCCACATAGACAATGATAAACAGTCAAGGTTGTTGCGCCTTGATTGTATTCCTCTTTATCTTTGGTATCAGAGCACACAATACTGCGGGACACAACCTTAGGCATTTTCAGGTAAGGCCAAATTCTAACTACAACTTCATGAATTAGACGAACAAATCACTTTTCAAGATGGCCGTCGGGCGACGTGGTTACTTAGTCGATATCCCTTGTTATAACAAAACATACCAGGGAGGACTGGATCAGTCCGGCGGTTGTCCAGTTCTGCACGTTTGGTTAGATCAGGAATGACCAGATAACAGAGAGGTCATAATTTCAAAAGTAAGGGGAAATTGTACTCCTGCATTAAGATTTTCATTCTTTTCCTCCATTTTATTAATCTTCTCTCACTCTATTTTTTTTCTCAATCCACGACCGTGTAAAACTAACACCCCTTGATACCCCACCTTAGTGAACTTTGTCACTTTCTAAGAAAAGTGAAATAAACGAATGAAAACAGTTCCCTGAATAGCCCACCTGCTCGACCACGTCATTTTCGCAATGGCTGAATCGAGCGATGTCTCGGCTGTAAAAGTGTTTAATTATATCAGTGGAAGTGGTGGAGTTTTAGATTTATTGAGCTTACTGAAACATCCTTCGCCTTTGGCAAAGAAATCCACAGTGAATGAGGTGATTTTATGGTTCAAAACTCAGAAAGACATCGACCCCAATAATAGATTGGTTTTGGTAAATAATCAACGTGGTGAGGCTGTTGGCGTGCGAATCGACTTAGCGAAACAATTGTGTTTAAAATACACCACCGAAGGGTCGTGTAAATCACGAAGCAGATGTAGATTCTGGCACTTATGCAAAGAGTTCCTTGAGGGAACTTGTAAAGGAAACTGTGGCCGATCACATGATTTTCACGATGAAGACAACAAAGCGAAAATAGTGGAATTGGGTTTTGCAGGAAAAGCGACTGGGCCTTTGAAAACTATTGTTGCTGGAAGCTTCTTACAGGTTTGTCTCATGTATTCAAAAAATGGATGCGTCTCCCTAAATTGTCCGTATCTTCATATTTGTTTGAATGCGGCGCGTTTAACAGCCTGTGACTGTTTTCTGTCTCACAATTTCGCTGATCCCCACAATAGGAGCTTGCTACAACAGTATGGATACAAACCTCCCCGAACGTCAGAAATGGATGTCGTACGATGTAACATTCTGGTCCCTAAGCAGCAGAAATCCTTTGAAGGAAGGGCTATCGGTGACCCAAGCTTCATTAACCAACCCACACCCAGGGGAAGTGAGCCTGGTAATATTACACAGAAGTTTCCCCCGCGTCCGAGTAGACCTGGAGCTGTTAGTCTGGCAGGTTTATGCCAAAACTTTCCCAAAACTGAATCCAAAGCACCTACTCAATCTAAACCAGCAATGCACCATATTGCTGTGCCTTCTAATGAAGACCCTCTCTTTGTGAAAGTTTTTAATTTCATATGTGCCAAGGGAGGTTACTCTTCATTAGCAGACCTATTGCAACACCCCTCTCCATTGGCAAGGAAGTTTTCAACCTCTGAGGTCGATGCAACGATTTGGCTTCAAGTAAACACCCACTCAGAACAGGGACAGAAGATCATTTTGCTAGAGAACCAAAATGGTAATATTCTTGGTGCTCGGGTGAATTCTAGGAAAAAAATGTGTTTGCAGTATATGAAGGGTTCTTGTAAATCTCTCAACACTTGTCAGTATTGGCACATTTGCAAAGGTTATCTTGAGGGAACTTGTCAGGGAGGCTGTGGTCTCTCACATGACTTCCATGATGAGGGTAACATCAAGAAGATACAGAGATTGGACATCGAACAATATCCCAATGGAACTCTGAGGAAAATTATCTCTCACAGTTTTCCCAGAATTTGTTTGGCATACTTGAACACTGAATGCATATCCAGTCATGACTGCCCACATTTGCATATATGCCCTCTTGCTTTTGGAGGAAACCCATGCAGTTGTAACCTGTCACATGCTATAGATGATAACCATAATGCCACAATTCTAAAGCAGTTTGATTTAGATCCTCCGCGAACCAAATTATACCTAATGCAGTGCAACATCTTGATGCCAAAGAGGCAGAAAGGCCCAGCAGAAGGCAAGCTTGCCTCACGTCCAGCACCTTTGATGTCCTTGCCTTTAGCCCAAAAAGATGATAACCTGGATTCACAAGCCAAAGGGCTTCTAGATAAGAAGGGAAAGCAGAGGAGAAGGCAGCGAACGAAGGCGAGAAAAAAGACAAATCAAGCAAGCAAACCCAGTGAAGAATCACTTGCAGATGATATCGAAGAGGGAGGTTCAGATTCAACCTCCGATAATGAAGATTTGCCCGACAAACCTGATCTTTACTCAGGATCAAAATTTTCGGCTCAGCCCAGACCAAGCACAAGGCATGCTGATGGTTCAGAGAATCCATCCTTTCATTGTCAAAAGAAGCAGATGCAATCCGACAATGGGTTGACTTACCAAGACCAGGTTTCTGAAATGGGCATAAGTGAAACTCCTGAAAAAAATCTTATTAATTTTGATGAGCTAGAAGACGAATTGCAAGATTTGGAAGATCCATTTGGTTCACTAGATGACTTCTCAACTTTTGAGCCTCTTTCTCAAGTTGATGATTTGCTCTTTAACCTGTCCCCCACAAATACTGCAGGAGCACTGTCTCAGGAGAGTACCTTTTTTGATCCATCTGACCAGGACAGCTCAGCAAGCAACCAAGAAAAACAAGCCGTAGACTCTGTTTTCCAGTACATTTGTAAAGAACACAATGGCGAGGCACCATATGATGTAATATCCCAGTGCTACCACATACTTCCACCAGATGTTTTGGATATTTCTGCATGGTTCAGAGAAAACTCAAACAGGTTTATGATCATCGAGAACTGTGTGGGGGGAATTGAATTAGTAAGAGCACACACCTCTACAGCACGCATCTGTTTTCGGTACTTGATGAACAAGGCAGGCTGTAAGAATCCAAAGTGCTTCCGTTACCATGTCTGCAAGCATTATCTTGCTAACGGTGTCTGTCCTCTAGGAAAGAAATGCAGGTACAGCCAGAGTCATAATCTCAAAAGCTCACACAACAAAAAAATCACTAAACAACAGAAGCTAACCTGTTTCTCAGAAGAGCAGCTACGTGTCATGATTTCTGCATCAGTCCCTGATGTTTGTCTTGCTTACAACAAGAAATCAGCCAGATGTAAGAAAGGGCTACGGTGTCAAGCTGTTCATGTCTGTAAGTATTTTGTGATGGGCAGTTGCAAGAAAGGAACCAGTTGCCCTCTTAGCCACGAGGCAAGTCTCAAAGAACCCCATTCTCAGTTAGTTCTGGAGAAGTATAATTTGACCAAGGTTCCAGCCCAAGCTGTCTTAAGAGCCCTTCTGGTACGTGGGCAGCTGCTACCCTCAACAATGGAAACTGCAGAGGAACACGAAACAGGTAAGAAGTATAATCAATATTGCACCATTGTTACAAGAAAGCTGTGGGAATTGCTTAAAGTAGAGTACATTTACACTTAGTTCTAGTCCTGAGTTAGTATTTTTATGGTACCGTTACAAACAAGATCTAACCAAGAAATTTTGCCAATTACGTTTTGAACCTGGCCATAGACCACTTTCATAAATGGCTGCCGGATTAATATTCTTTTGTTTAAATTTAAATTTGCCTGGGAGGCCTCGCTTGAGATAATGTATTCTTTTGAATTTTGTACTGGAGAACGAGGCCACCTAGGCAAATTTAAATTTAAACAAAAGAATATTAATCCGGCAGCCATTTATGAAAGTGGTCTATAGTCATTGCTAACATAATCTGTTAGCATGGGCTTGTTTACAGTTCTTTTTACTAAGTTTTTTCACCTGCATGCATCCATTCTACAAATGCAAATTATTGTGTCAATGAAATAGATAAAACTATGTTGATTCATAATTAATGATGTGAGTAGAACAGCAGCAACATCTGTTCTTGTAAAATAACCATACAGCTACAAAAGAAATTGATAAGATTTAATTATTTTTCACTCATAATCGTACGTGATCATGTAATTGTTCACATCAGGTTGCAAATACAGTAACTCTGATTCTGGCTTTTTTAGCATTCCAGATTTCATTTTAGATATTTCAAAAGAATCCCTATTAAAAAATGAGCCTTACAGAGAATAACTGGAAAGTTAGTTCTAAATTTACAAAACGGTCTCTTTGTTAATTCTGTAGCTGGACAACCTAAAAAAGAAAGAGTCATGAGTCCGAAGAGAGAGATGCAAAACGTTCACAGCCCCCAGTACATCTGCCTGGAGTTCCTATTGGGTCATTGTGGCAAGGCTCAATTGTGTGACTACTGTCACCACAACATGCCTTACCTATGGCAGTATAGATACCCTGGCAACGAGCAAGCAGACAGTTGGAAGACATTCACTGAAAACGAGTGTGAAGAAATTGAGAGACAGTTCTGTATTGTTGATGTTACAGAGACTGATGTCGAGCACATTGTAGTTGCACCTCCTCCAACAGCACTGTAAGTACAATTCATTTCCCCAGTGGGAAATTACTTCTTTAATTTAATCGCTTCCCCTGTCCAGTTAACCTGAAGAGGATTTTTATTTGTTAAATAAAGAGAGAGAGAGCTGGAACCCCCACCCCCTCTTCATAACTTATGGTCCTTAAATTCCCCTTAAGACACTGTGCAGAAATTGAGGAGTTCTAATGAAGTGAAGGGCAGCAAAATTAACTAATTGTTATGGCTAATTCTGATCTGTAGTAGAATTCACTTTTCATAATTATGTTTGGTTTCACTTTTAAGTGATCATTAAGTTTCCCTTCCATTGCTGCAGTATTGATCCTGGAGAAGGTTACATCAAGGTCAACTTTGATGAAATGAAAGCTGAGACAGGAGTTGGATCTGTGGAGTTGAGACGTCTGTCTACTAAGTCAGTGGTCTTGTCTGCAGATCATGCTTTATTGACTAAGTGGGTTTGGTACCTGTCAGATCAGGACAGCTGTTGGACTGAGTACGATTCTGAGCTTATGGTATGTCTGATTGATAATTGCTGATAATTCTAACACTGTTGAGAAAAAAACCCATAGTGAGAAGACAGGCTGTCTTTGGCGTTGTGTCAGAAAAGGAGTTCTGTCCCTTCTCATTTGAGACTTGCTTGGCAAAGCAATGCATTCTTTTAGAGAGCCAATGACGAAATCAAACGTCACAGTACATTAAATCTGAAAAGGAGAAAAAAATTTTTGAAGAATTTCAATTGTTATATACATGACCAGACGCAGTCTTTGTAGTGTAATTACATAAATCTATAACTATTGTAACAGGTTAAGTTCTAAAACTGCCCTAAAAGTAACCTGAGTGTACTTTATCTTTTTATTTATTATTATTATTATTTTTTTTTTTGCAGTTTTTTCCTTCCGTAGAACACTTGGGGGTACAATTTACCGTGGGAATGACTTTTCTTTGTCATTGCTACCTATTTATTATTTTTGTGTTCATTGAAAAGTTTCGTGCTTTTTCCATTTATCAGGAAATGCTCCTTTTGATTGATTCTGAGATAACGAAGTTTTATGTTTATGGTTATTTCTGGGAAATGGGAAATTTGCTGCCCACTTTCGGTAGTGGTATCTTTTGTAGGCAATTTTTGTCTCTCTTTTTTGCCACAATGTCTCCTTACAGACGCGAATAGAAGACTCGTTTACCAAAGGAAGATCATTCCACAAATTTAAAAGTGGAGGAGAGGATCACAAGTTGTTTTTTCACAAAACCTCTATGTACCAGCAGAGCACCAAACCACCCATTAAAGAAACAAAAGTGAGACGAAGGCCTTTGTTTAGGTCCAAGTCGGAAATAGAGAGGTTGAAGAGGTAAGAACAAACGCTACTAATGCCTGCCTCTCTAAATTTAAGTAAACTCTAGCCACTTTAATCTCAACACGGTTATTTTGTGGTATGGGTTTCCATCATCCATATCAAGGGGTCGGCATTTAAAACGAAGAATGCGGTCGTAGCAACAACGAAGGTATCTTATTTGCAAGGCATCTTATTATACAATACAGAAAGTTGCGAGAAAATGTGATAAATACAAAGGATAATTTTTTTTTTTTTGGTGCATGTGATTTTTTTTTTATTTTTTAATTAGTAAGGGTAGTTGTTATTTTGACCAATCACACTGAGCGCGCCTGAGCAGACCAAGCATCACGGATGAAAGCGCTCCCTTGTTGTTTGTTTCTGTATTTCTTTGGATTTCTTTTATGTTAGTGTATATTGATGTTTTCGTTTCTCCAGTTTCTTACTTAGTTGTTTGCGTTTTCGCTTGTGTATACATCTTAGTAGAGTATGAATTTTTTGGACATATGTTGTAAGCCAGCTGTTGTTGTACCTGCTTTGATGTTTAGTCCAACTATGATTTCATTTTATGTTATTATCATCATCACTTTTTCAAAGAAGGCGAGGAACTGAAAAGAACAAACGAACAGTACGAGTTTTCAATCGCGAAGGGAAGCACCTTATGAATTTAATTACCTTTTTATATTTTTCAGTCCCCTTGAACTACCAATCCCTTTGCAACCTGTAACGCCAGTGCAGTCTACCTCAACTTCATCACATGGTCACACTCCTTCTCACTGGGAACATGTTCCTGAAGACCTAGATTTCATGCGTGTCCCCCTGACCAGCAAATCAGATGAATTCAAACTTGCTGAAAGTTTGTTTCGTCAAACTATGTCCGAAAACAAGGCCTCTATCATCTCCATTGAGCGAGTTCAAAATCCGTTTTTGTGGAAGAAGTATGCAGAGTATGTATTGAACGTTTGATTTCGTTTTTAATCCCATAATCCCCTTCAAGGTGTTATTTAGTGATCATAGTCGTACGTATACATAATGACTCTTGCCCTCGATGAATCCCAGCTGACTTTCAAATCCCTCTTGTGGCGTTTGACATGTACATTTGTGAAGTGTACTGAGAAGTTAAGAGTCCTGCGTAGGATGTGCTGGGGTGAGACAGAAAACGCCTGGCGCGCAACCAGAGATGAAGTGAGTTAAAAGATTCACCCTTGTTCAATAAAAATCATGCATCTCGTGAATACCGCCTCCTGCGTCTTTTAACCAGTTCTGGTGTATGGATTTTGGCTTATAAGTTCAGACAGGTACCTGTTGGTATGCACATCAAACCAGAGTTAAATTACTTTCTGAATTTCTAACGTGAAATTGTGTGCTATTTCTCTTAGTAAGAAAGAATGGATGAAGAAGAAGGCCTTAGTCAAAGACAACCCTAAACTTCTCTTCCACGGAGTTGATCCCCAAGTTGTAGACACGATGTGTGAGGAGAACATCGACTGTCGCGCTCTAGGAGAGGACCGAGCTGCCCAGTTCGGTCAAGGAGCTTACTTCACAGAGGAGGCAGCCTTGAGTAATCTCTACTGCAGGCAAGACTCAGAGTCCTTCCGTTACATGTTTTTGTGCGAGGTTATCGTGGGATCATTTGCCAAAGGTGAGCCATCGTTGACGCGACCTCCTTTAAGGAGTGACTCCGAAGCCAAGAAACAGCGTTATGACTCTTGTGTAGATAACGTCACGAAGCCCACCATTTTTGTGTTGTTTGCCTCGGATCAATATTACCCGACTTTCTTGGTAAAGTTTAAGACCAAATCTAAGTTGGTCTGTTGATCGATGAGATACATGTACTGTATACAGACTTTATAACGTATACACGTTAAGATACAAAATATCCATTGTAAGGCTTGAAAAGCTGTGAATGCTCAAACCAAATGAGCGTATCTCTTAAGTCAGCGTTAAAATGGAGTTTTCGTTAGGTAATTCTTGTTACGAAAACTCCATTAAAAAAATCAAAAAATTAAAATTGAAATTTTAAGAGAAGAGTAAAAACATAATACATAAATCTTTTCCTTTTGCGGTGAGCTCGAAAGCAGCCATTATGATATTTCGATTGAAAACAATCAATCAATATGCAGAAACACTCGAAATAATGACAAACGAAGCAAAGGTGGCTTTAAATATTTTACTAATTTCAAGTTTTGCTAGATATTTCATTGTAAGTGTTGACCATTGAAAGCGGCGCTCTTTGGTTTGCATCACAGCAGTATAAGGTTATCTGAAAGGGCTGGTTATCTCAAAGACAGTTCTTAATGCCTTGGAGTATTATCTTTTCATTGTAGTCTCACTATCGCTATAGGAAACACTCAGAGATCTTTATCCTCTAAAAGTTTATGCTCCCAAATAACCAGCTTCATACCCATGTGATGTAAACTAGCTTTTATTTGTCCGTAGAAGTAAATGGACGGAAGCATTTCTAAGGGACGCCTTCGTTATGGGATGGCAACCTCACTCCCAGTTACCTTTATTTTACCTATTATGGGATATTTCAGTGTTTGTTGAGGGAAGGTCCCGTTGCATTTTTTCATGCAACAACTGTAGGGTGTGGTAGTAAAACAGGACTAAGAAAGGTGTCATTTGGGCCAAGGTCCTTGCTCACTTATTGTATCTCTTCAGTCGATGAAACCATTCACTGTGAAATGTCCTCTGTATGTGCGTATGGCAGATACCGACGTCATCCTGGCGTTAAATTTAACTCTCAGGATCGTCCTCGACTGACAAGTTAATCACTTTTCGTCAAAAAGCAGGCCTCGATGTTGGAAAGTTGGCGAAATTTGTGTCTTTTTCTGGTTAAACTGATGACTGGAAAAAAAAAAAAACAAACAAACAAACAAAAAACAAAAGATTAAATGGTTCAAATAGAATCTGTCTAAAATACCCCTCATTGCATGCAATATGAAAAAGAGACACCATGATATTATGTTGCACTTTATTTCATGAGTACGTAGGTCGGTCGATTGGCCACTCTTTCGGAAATTGCGAAGTAATTTGTGGGATTTCCCGTACATCCCGACTTCACATCGGAAACTGCAGAACCCTCAATATTACGATTCACGAAGGCTCGTGCACAGTTTGCGAGGGCACATTCGCTCAGATTATATGAACTACCCTTTCTGTAACTTGCGATTGTCACGAAATACCGAGTTATGTTTCGATAGCATTGCGTGGTTGGCGTTGTCGTTCCTTGTTACGAAGGTATTTCATGTATCAAAGGGAGTTTTGATCTTGAACTCTTCCATTTTGCTCCAAAGGCTTGTTCACATTTTAAAGTCATCTTGAGGGCATACACCGCTAAATTGCGGGAGAAGTACATTAAGGACGAAGAAAAGCAAAAATCCTTGTTCTGTTTTTCATGACCATTGGAAAATTCCTCATAAAATTCCGTGCAATTTTTGCCCACGATGTCATGGTTGGCCCAAAATGAATCTTGCGACTGTCAACATTTCTAGGGAAAACGTCAGTGTTCATGATTAGGTGATTCGATCCCCCCGACTAAATCAGAGAACTTTGTCGCAAGTCGAAGAGGAAGTTATGCTGCTCATGAAATGCCATTTCAAGTTCACTCGTAATGCTGTGTAAGATTTTTCAGGCATTTGAATTATCAAAACATGGACAAGCAAAATATGTTATGACAGAAATTTCGCAAAAGATAAAGGTTAAAAAATAAAAAAAATTCAATTTTGTCTACTCAGTGACGACAAATTGTTTCTTAAAATCAATTGTAGTACAAATGGGATTACGTTTGGTTGGCAAGGTATGGAATGTTTTGCACAGTAGACCATTGGATGTGTTTGGATGTATCATGAGAGCCATGCTTAGAAAAGGGTCTGTCTCCCCTAGGAAGGGCTTAGCTCAGCCTTTGTTACCCCGCGAAGTGGTACACAAACATTGTGGAGATGACAATAGCATTCAGTTATCTAATTTGGTCAAAACTTGGTTGTATCAAGCCAGTTCATTTCATGTCCAATTTGGAAGAAACTACAAATGAATAAAGGCTGATAGTTTCGAAAGAAACTGTTTGGGGCTGCGTCGGTGGGAGTAACGAAATAATTTGGATATATCAACAAAGTTGAAATGGTAAATTGGCCACCGTAATGATTACAAAAGCTGACGTTTCGAGCGTTAGCCCTTCGTCGGAGCGAATAGAGGAATTGTGGGTTGTGTGTGCTTTTAAAGGCAGAAAATGGAGCTACGTTATTGGTGGGTGCATGGCAACGAGAAAAACATGAATAAATTAAACTACGTTTTGTTTCTCTTATTTAAAACAATTTGTGGCTTAACCTTTAATTCTTTCACCCGCAAGATCTTATCGATAACTCTCCTTACTGCCTGTCATACAATTCTTATCATGATAATTCTGAGAATTTGGTATTGGATCAACTAGTAATCCCCTAGTTGATATTTTTCTTTATTCTCATCTCTCGTGTACTTGATAATGTATCGATATTGTAAGGGGAACTTTTTGTCTTGATCACCAATGGGGGGGTTAAAGGGTGAAGCATTGCTGGTTAGGGTTAGCTTTTTGCAGCTAAAGTTGTAGAAGATAAGTAGACAATTGACAGAAAAGCGTTTAAGAATGCACCGTAAAGTGGCGAAACTATAGCAGAATTTTATCGTAACTTTATAATAACTTAAATTTAGTTTAGAGTTTAGTGAAACGCCATTATGCTCTCTATTTAGTAGCACTGGAATGAACTGTAAAACACTTCGTTGTCTTTTCGTCGCGTGACTCGCCGAGGCTAGATTCATGGGACGCATCGAGGTGTGACGCGATAGATCTTAGGTAACGGTGCGCGAGGCGTTTGCCTAGATGAAACATCGACACAGCGTGTACTTTAGGTTTTCTCATTCTGAGTGCGCCCCGTTGTCAAAGCTTAGTGTTTTTATTGTCACGGAAAGACGTACAATGCTCGCGCACGTTGCATCGTAGAAGTCGATTGTTACTTGTTCATTAATGGCTACGTCACTATTTTATGTCTCTACTTCCACTCCTTGCGCTAATGTTGAATGTTTGAGTACTAATTACCGTTTTTTTGTCATTATTTGCTAATGTTTTCACATTCCAGTGCCTTTGATTCGGTAGAGTGAATTGCTAAATCAATAAAGGAAACTGTTTTGTTCAGTTTATCCTTTGGTTAGGACTGAATTACCTGACGCTACGATCTATTGTCGTTTACCCTTGAGAAATCCTTCTGTTTCTTTTGAGAAAATGATGATCACTTTAACTGCTACGGTGAACTGAACACGACATTGGGATCCAGAGAAACATTACACCAGCTAATAATAATAATTTAATATTTATATTGCGCAAATTAACATGTGGATATGATCAAATGCGCATCACAACACTTTTCGGGGGACTTTGGCCGGACTGCAACAGCAGTTTACAAACAATCGAAGAAACTTATTTGAAAATGCCCTCTTCCCCCAATTCCCAGTAAACAGGCCAGACCACATCACAGTAATCTCGTGAGTGGGTTCTTTAACGTCCCCTGCCTAACCAAATTAACTAATTACTAGATCCAGCAGACGGGACCTACGGTTTATTCGTCCTTATCCGAGAAGACTAGAATGTCTATCCATTTCTTGATATTATACAAAGGTAGCGCATTCTCCTCAGTTATTTTAAGACCTTGAGTGTTGGTCCGGCCGGGGCTCGAACCATCGACCTCGACCTCCCGCAAACAGCCCAGCGCTTTAACCAATTGAGCTAACCGGAAGGCGGTTAAAAGTTGAAAGTTGTGAAATTTATAAACTGTAAGCTGATGACCATGGCATGAAAAAGTTGTAAAACTTTACCAGTTTGTCATGTCTTTTTCACAGTATTTTGTGGCCGCAGATACAAAAGAAACAAGGAAAATTGCATTTTTGTGTTAATACTTCAATTTCGTGGCCTTAAAATAAAATGCAGGCGCGTTTTTTTTCTTATTAATAATTATAAGAACTGAAACAATTTCTATGAGTAGAATTTTTCTTTAGCTTTGTTTTGTTTTTTTATCAGAATTTCCAAACATTTACGCATGCTGTACCACTAAATATACTCTGGCAGCATCCCTTGTAACTCGATAATCCATGCGCAAAACTTAGCGCGCCTGCGACGTGTAAGTTCGTTTAGATTGCACAGTTTTCTAGATAGTTACGAAAGGGAAAGCAGATCAATACGCGCACTAGCAATTTAACCACTGTGATCTTTAACAACAGCAAGACCGCCTTGCCTCTTTAATCATTTTGTTACTCCTCCTTCAGTTCCTTCGAATGCCAAAGGTGACGGATGCTCCAAAAATTTCAACAATTCGACGAAACCGCCAGAATCGTAGACAAAGTTTAAGACCTTGTGGACCACATTATCATACTCCATGTTGCTGGTGGCTGTTCAAACTACTGAGCACTAAAGCATGATTGCCAATATTGTCACGGGTTTTGCAGACGATTCAAATCGAATAGTCATATCGTCACAAGACTTTCCATTCGTCGTGAGCTGTCAACAGTGAAAGAAAGGATAACATTTCTTTTCATCAAATAATTTGCACCCCGTCGCAAGCCATTTAGTCTTCACATAATAAAGTAACTATTAACAGTGGTTTTCTTGAAAGACGGCAGCTGATGATCAAAACTGAAAAAAAGGTGTGATTGGCGAGATCCCGGATTTTCCGAATAATTTGATTTTATTATGATTCTGGTTTTTGACATGGTTTTCTGATTTCTTGCAGTGATCACAGACTTTTTTTCGAAGTTATTGTTTTTCTTTTCTAGTCTTTCACATTTTTTTTCAAATGAAATAGATCCTTATTGCTTTGATTGTGTTTTCAATATAATGTCGCGTCAGAGAATCCACTTAAATATAGGGCAGAATTGAAACTGGCACAACAGTTTATTGCTATTTTGAAGGTAAACATTGAATCGATGAAACGTTCAGTCTATACGAAAGTTTTACACTCTTTAAATGTTATTACTTTTGCTAACAATTTAAGAAGCGAAGCTCCAGGACTGAGGTCTGTCTCAAAGGTAAGGAAAAGATTGAAGGACTGGGTCTGCGTGATTGGCCCGACTTATTGGTTGGCACGCGCGCGCATAAAATGGCGGCTTTCTCCTTGCGGCAGGAGTTCAGGAAAGCGTTCAACCTTTCACAATCGTAACATTGCCGACGGCTGGCTAAATTTGCGTCTCTGATAACTTATTTGTCATCATGCACCGGGAACTGGTCAATGATCTCTTAGTTTTAACAATTGAAGAAAGTTTTTGCTCGAGCACCTTGGACTGTTGTGCGGGAGATTCTTTAGCAGGAAAGTGTGCGTCAGCGCGGCGGTATATCAACTCGCCTGAATGGAGACATTGTAAGTTTCAAAAACCGAGAAAATGGTTTGTAACACATTTTAAAGGTGTCATGCAGTTGTCAACATTCACCAGCGCAGAAGTTAAATCTGTATTTAAATTCATCATCTTGTGAAGCTTTCTTCGGCAAATTCTTAAAAGTGCACGGATTATCGAGGATGTTATCAGTCTAGATATTAATAACTCCCGATAAATAATTATGCAAATTAAAGCAGATTAACATGTTTACTTTAGTCTTTGTAACAAAATAAATTTACTGGCATGCCTTAATTCTGGCGCTAATAACATTCCTTACAAGGCATCAAGTCTATTGGCAGTTTCTTATAATACAAAATTTCCACTAGAATCTGCACGCCGCATAGCACTGACACTATTGCAACTAAAATTGCCATGGAGTGGTCCAAATACCACAAATCTGTATGAACAAGTAAAAAGGTGCAGTTACTGATGATAAGGCCAAACATGAGTGCTGCCGATAACGCAGAGTCTATACAGCTCCCAAGCATTGCTGAACTGAGAAGCTTTTTGGACACGTAACACTGCATTACGGCCAACATAGTGTACAAAAGGCAGCCAACGCTTAGGACAACTACGATGCAAAACGTTTTGGAAGGGTGATCTTTCTCTACAATTCTTTTGATTGATAATCCCGCAGTCAAAGTTCCGCTGACGATAAAAGACGTCGCAAACACTAAACACGATACTTTTTCTCTTTTATACCCCAAACTGCCGTTCTTTGCTGTTTTGAATCTCCATAGCACAACAAGAGAGCATAGGGAAGCATTGGCACAGTCAAACGCGAGCGCGAGAGCCGAAGAACTGTCGTACGCCCCCGCGGCTTGAAACGAAGCAATTGTTATACTAAAAGAAACGACAATGCAGAACACCGTCACCCATATTGCCGCCCTTCTCCATCGCTGTTTGATATGTTCTGGCATTTTCTTTGTGCGATCTATCATTAAATCTTCGTCCATAAACGATATACAGGGTGTGCTTCCCTTCTTATCCAATTCCTCAGTGATCGGAGGGAATCCTACAATCTTTCCCGAGGAGTAGCCATTTGACTTTAAATTCAACTTAGTGCCCAAAATTGATTCCGCAGAAGATTCTTCTAGGCTGTCGGAGCTTTGATTTCCTCCATTTCGTCGCCCAGGGGAATTTCTCGACATTTCTAATATTAAGCGTGTTCCCCAGGATCACAAGAGAAAGCATGCGACAAACAGTTCCTCAAATGTTAGTGATAACTTTCATGACCGTTCCTATTTTGTGCTCTCAAGTGTTAAATAAATATTCTATTTGCAAGTTAATTTAGTGTACAAGAATGTCAGGCCTGAATGGTTTCTTTTCAAAAGCAAAATAGAAGGTGGGTTTTGTTACAGGCAACAAAATGGACCTGCTATAATTGGTTTGGGGAAGATAGGAATGAACTCGCCAATGTAGTTTTATTTCATTGCATTCATTTTACGTTACTTCACTAATAGATAAAACTGACTTCTGAAGTAGCTCCGTAACCTGTTGCTTCACGGCTGACTAGGAAACTTAACTTGTTGACAAGAGCGTCTGGAAAATTCGTCACTCTCTTCAAAGGTGAAACGCCTACCGTAGGGCAAAACAAATTTAGACCACCAACATATTTTAGTTTCAACTAATTTGGAAGCTGTTTTAATTTGGAAAATTGCTTTTCTTTGCGACTTTACGAAGAAATTGTGGGAAGTAATTTTAATCGTTTCTGAAACGAAAACAGGAACAGAAATATGGATTCAAACTGAAGAGAAGCAATCGATGACGCCTATGAAAAAGATGAGCGAACTGAAGATGGTTGAAGACGTAAAGAAAGCTATTTTTTAGCCCACTAGTCTGCCTCCTGCCAGTGGAGATTTTTAAGCACTTAGTTTACATTGTGGCTGAAAAGCCCCTAAGCGGGAGCTTCAATTTACGTCTTTATTTATTTATTTGTAATAAAACAATTGACGAAAACCTGACGGAAAGAGCGAGAACCACAATTTGTAAAGGAACCGAGACATCGATAAGTATTTAAATTTGGGCAAACGGGCGGAATACCAAAATGCCCCTTCAGAATACCCTAGACTTAACTGTACAATAGATATGTCATCCAATACTCTTAGATACAATTGATGACAAACCTTTCTTTTGTGAACATAAACCACTTTTCTAATGGCAGTAATTAGTATTTTTCTTTCATGTGCATGCAAATTAACCCCCTCGGCCTTGCTTTAACACGGAAATTACTTACTTTCCTGACGTGCAGTCGAGCCCAGAAATGTTTATTTTCATCGCTCGTCAATAACGAAAGAGGTTTAAATTGCACACTTATATGACCGCCAAATAGGGAAATAAATGGGGCATCTTTTCTTTAGTCTGAACGGAATGAAGGAGGTCTAAATGGCACAATTATGTCGCCGCCAAACAGGCAAATAAATTGGGCTTTTTTTCAGTCTTGCAAAGACTAGCAAAAACTAACGATAAAAACCGACGTTTCGGTGTCATCATGACGCCATTGTCAAGGAGAAATAAAAAATGAAGTTTGTGGAAAGGTGTAACACTAAATTAGCATAAATATGTTACGAGCTAATTAAACAAATACTTTTGCGCGAATTGAATCGCTTTGCACGTTCAGAGTGGGTTTTAAGTCTCTGATGAAAAGCATTTTTTCAGTCTGGACTATTACGTGTTCATTCACGTAATATTCCGTAGTCCGGAATATTACGTGTTCATTGCGTTGCAACAGGTCTGAAATATCTCCCCCTTTTGCGTAACTCCAACCACAATCAAGAAGCCAACTAGTTTAAAGATATTAACATGGGAATTCTTTTGTTTCCAAACTTGCTGTCGAGACCAGAAAAGTTAATTTACATGAATTAAAGAGTCGCTCATAATTTCTTAAAGAGGTCAAAACTGCACACTTATGTCGCCGTCAAACAGGCAAATAAATAGAGCATCTTTTTCTAGTCTGGATGGAATTTTACGTGTTCAGTGTTTTTATTGCGTTACAAAAGGTTTGGAGTATTCCTCCCTATACGTAACTCCAACCTCAATCAAGAAGCTATGTTGCCTAAAACGTATAATAATTTCAAAGATCGATGAATGCTCTTGTTGAGCGAAATATTTTGCTGTTTGATCCGTATTTCGTCTCCAGTTAACGTTCTGTAAAACAATCCAGGCAGAGAAAATTCATTTACCAGTTGTGTGAGAAAACTACGATAGGTGTGTAGAGAAAAAACTTGCTAAAAATTAGACTCCATGTTGTCGTGCGCCTGTTCAGTTATAAATCAAAGATGACGTAAAAATGTGGTAAAAAAAAAAAAAAAAAAATCACAAGAAGCGCCGCCAAGTGTTCCACTGATGGTCTCACCGCATTTTGACATCTTCTGTGATCTCTTGATGTAGATACTCACGGCAACATGGAATCCAAATTTTTGATATGATAGGAGAAGAAAAATTTGTTGTCAATGATGACGCCCGTGTCCTCCCGGAGATCACAGGTATAAACCAATACGTACATAATTAAACGTAGCGTAGAAATGGGATTTAAAACTAACTAAATGAATACAAATTAATATCTATGAACAAAGGAAGGAGCTTTGCGTAATCCCTCAAATTATTTATTTACGCTGAATTACTTAACATCACTTCATATTTATATCAATAAAAAAATAACTTCTTTTAACTTCACATTTTTCCCTTTCAACTCTGCACATAAATCAAAGCTATGAAACATACATCTCAGCTAAGTGCCTACGCTCGTGGCAAATAAATTAAACATCATTTTCAAAAACAATGAATTCCAAATTACGTCGCACAACTATTGTGTTGATTATTAATGAATACATCATACTAACTGTGTAAAACGGATTAACTTAACAAGCTATGGCGTCACTGAAAGTATTTTGATTAGTTTGTATATTCTCCATAATGTTGTCCACACCGTACCTACTGTGCTGACTCAGAGAAATCGTTTAACAATCAAGAGCTACTTAGGCTGGTGATCATTTCTTTTATTCTCTTGACCTTAATGTGTGATTCAGGGGTGATATTGTAAGGAGAAATTAGATATTAGGCACCCTTAGGGGTTAACCCTGTTTTCACCGCAGAAGAAGACATTCTAGCAAACACGACTTTCCTATTTCTTTATGGGGGAGGTAATTTGAATCGTATATCAGATACAAACCTATCTGGCCGTGAGAAAGTCCTTGGTTATTTTGAAAATATTGCGGAACGAAGAACCACGTCATTACGTTGTTCAGTTTCCTTAGCAGAGGAAAGAAACGCTTTACCTTTTTCATACAGTTTACGAAACTATTCTTAAAGTAGATGTTATCTGTTTTTGGTTTCACACCATTACGGTTGTAATCTATCATCATCGTCATCGTCGTCGCTATCGTCATCATCAATGTTATCATCACAGCCATTAATATCGTCATCGCCATAGTCGTCGTTACCATGATCATCATCGTTTTCGTTATTGTCATCATTATCGTCATCATCATCATTGTCATCGCTATCATCGTCATCATTGTTATCGTCATCGTTATCAATATTGCCATCGTCATGACTATCGTCGTCATTATTGTTATCGTCATCGTCATCGCCACCATCGTAATCATCATCAACTTCGTCATTGTCATCGTCATCATTTTTGCTCTCTCCCTTTTTTGTCCAGAATTAAGTGCACAGGTTCTGTCTCCTTTAGTTGACATTATACGATTATCTACCATTATCTTGCTCTAATTTTTCCATTTTCTTAAGAATAAAGTACCTGAGTTCAGTCGCTGATAATCGAACTTACACTGGTCTTAGCCTTTCAGTCACGAAAAGAAAAAATCACTAACCACCGTAATTCTAACCGCTGAAACGATCAAAATTTCGGTGATAGGACTAGGTGACTACAACGCGATTTCAAGAAATTCGATTCTGGGAGGTCTCTTAGTGAACAATGATTTTTGTATTAGGATGACGTGTTTACATCCTTGCTACCATCCAGTTCAGATCACGCGTTAGTTACAACTAATGAGTTTGCTCATATTCCGTACAATTGGCTGTGTGTGAGAGACTTTTGAAGTCTAGCCCCCGCGTATGAATCGACACATGATTTGAATGAACGATAACAGGGATATAAACAGGTTGACCGACCCAATCTATTAACTCAATTGTACAACATTTTTACGTAATTTCTAAAACAGAAAAATAATGAATGTAAAAAGTCAAAGTCATTGCCCAAACCTACTTCTCTCTTAAGAGTTCAACTCAAAGCTTTCTGCGCTTCTTAAGTTTTGTTCAGTGTTCTTTGTTAATTTTCTCTTTTGTCTACACTAATATAGAGTTTGTTTTGTTTTCTTTTAGGTTTTTTTTTTTTTTTTGGTACACTAGTTTGTGTGTGTATTTGTATTTTGCCTTGTTCTTGTTCGTCGAGTTTAGCCGCGAGGTCTCAAAACTTTGAAGATTTCTTTCAAGAAGTTTTTCCATTCTATCCCGATTGAAATAGACCTTTTGGTGCTCAAAATGAAAACACAATATACTAAATAATAATTGTGTCGAAAATATAAGCATGCAGCTCTTTTAAGCGACGAAGTCAGTTTTGGAGTTGAAAACAAAACTGAGTTTTCTGACTTCAACTGAGTTTTTGTGAAGTTGGTTAACTTTTCATTGGAACGGTAAATATAAAGCTTCGTTTTTCCAACGGTTGATATCATTTTTAAGTGTTTTAAAATATTTCCTTTGGGAGATTTTGATTTTAAATCGTACAATTTCAGAATTTTCAACAATTTTAACACAAACCTACGTAAATTTCCAGCTGTGAATTCTGAGCCGAAAATTTACAATGCTTTGAATACAGATTTAGTCTCAAATATTTCATGGTCGTTTTTGCCTTGTTCTCTATTCCTAGTTTTCGGGTAGAACACGATTACCTGGTAAACCCGAAACAGTTGACATAAGCTCTTCTTTTTCGTGCACACCTTGTGTTTGCATGCTATGCTATAAAAGAATTGGTTAACGCTTTAGCTGTGTTCGTATATCGAGTTATGGATGTCAAATTGATTACGTGCATGCTTGAGAACTGTAGTGAACTTTTAGAAAAAATTTACGCATATAGCGCTCTTAAATTAGGGAACTTAAGAAAATAAAACTACTTTGAATAAATACAGCTTTGTCCATCACTAAACACAGACACACCTTCTCCTTCTTCGAAGTCACATTACCAAGCACTTGTCTTTGGAAGATTTCGATATCGAGGAGCTGCTGGGAGTTGACCAGTGGTGTGGCACACCAGACGTGTTTGTTGATGACGAATAATTTCTTGACGTTCCTGTGCTTGAGGTGTGCGATGAATATGTTGAACTATGAGAGCTTGCCGTACCCGAAGAGTAGCTCATGGCTGTACTGCGGTGCGGTGCGCCAAACGAGCTGTTAGAAGCTGAACCAAAACCACTCGATGCCCCACTACTGGACGAGTAATAACTACTGGTAGGATTAACGGAGCTTCTAGATGGCGCAGCTCGGCTATAAGAAGGTGTCTGAGCGGAACTTGGTGCTCCGCGAGCTCCGGAATTCCTACTACTTTCATCAGAATACTCGATGATGTACTCTGGGTAGAACTGGTCAGCGTCAAAAACCACATAAATGGTTGGACTGTACTGGTCGTCCACACAAGAGTCGAACAGGTCACTCGATGGGTTGGATGGTTGCTTTGGAGGCGGTCTCCGATAACTGGAGTTGCCTTTAGTGTAAGATCCAACAAGAACTTTTGCCAAGAACATGAACTGAAACGAATTCGCGTCTTTCTTCGCATAAGCATCGCTGTAGGAGGCATTTACAGCGAAATAACTTCCCTCGCCATAGACAGTGGCGTTCTTGCCGTTTAGGCGCCAGTCAAAGTTTTGCTTACATATGGCCTCCACAGCATCGGGGCTGGTTCCATGGAACAACCTCTTTTCGTTCAAAGAGTGACTACCTCTCTTGATCGCTAACATGTTTTCCTTTTTCCTTTAAAGAAAAAGCGGACAAAAACAAGGCTTCAGGTCAAGAATGTGGTACATCTACCCAACTACTGAGGTGAATATATTGTTCTAGTATGTATATATATATATATCTATAAACAAACAAAATAAAGCAAGAAAAGTTTACTTTAACATTATTTCTGCGACGATTAGAATATTGTCGGGCGTAAATGCTTGGAGGTAAAAAGAAAAGGATATTCAAAGCGTGCCTTAAGCGCTATTCACTGTTTTAGTATATACTTAATGCCTTTATCAAGTACATGTAAGTGGAAAATTCCAGCTCTTATTTTCAGAAAAAAAAAAAGATGACAGAACTAAACGCTTACACTAATTTTCGTCTTATGGACATAAGTGTTTATTCAGTCAACAGCACGAAATGAGCCAGCGGTCATTTGAGAGTCCTTAACTTTTTAACCCTTAAGAGTGATTAGCATCGAATTTCTCCTTACAATATCACCCCTGAATCACACGTTATGGTCACGAGAATAAGGCAAATGATTATTAACTAGAGAAGCTCTTGATTGTTGAACAAATTCTCCTTACAAGCACTTAAGGAAATGTATCGAGAACAGTGTGGAGAATAAGCAAACTGATCTTAGGGTCAAAGGTTTAATGAAAGCCATATTAACTCAGCTGTTCAATTACAAGTACCTGGTTGCGAATGTGGCAGCATTAAAAAAAAAAAAAAGAAACTTCCGCACAAGACAAGCCTAGAGAAAGCTTTTTGAGATCAATTACCCGTTGCATTTTGAAATTGAGACCTTCTTCAATTCTTTGGAAATATCGAAATAATCATCTCTTTATATTAACAAAATACCTTTGATACTTCTCCCACATAAAAGAGTTTTGCACGCGCTCAATTCTACGGATAACGACCCTCTTTTGGATTGAACTTCTAAACAATCTCTCCACTTCTTTGTACTCAGCTGTAACATTGCTTAATGCTACACGTGTGTACTGCATATTAACTGGCATAGAGGCCCAATTGCTGGGCTTTCCAGTACTCGATACAGTTGCACTCGTTTTTCCCTTTCTGGATGACCTGCGGCGAAAAAGGTGAAAAAAAAAAAAAAAACATATGTAAGACAGACATAGCCAAGAATTCAAGCGTAAGTAATGAACCTACCACAACTTTACAGTTATCTGTGCATTTTTTTGTTAAGCGACCTTAATGTCCCTCGTTTCCTTGGGAACCATCAAGAAAAAGGGTAATTCAACACAGCGCGAGCATCAAAAGAACAGAACGAGAATTTTGTTGAGTCGAACCGCTCCGAGATATTCTGATATTCTGGCGTTCTTGGTTTTACTACCCGCCCCAGACCAGGCCAACATGGCACGTTCTCTGAAAAGCCACTTCCCTCTCTTCATGCAGTAAACATTGAATACGTGATTAAACACTGTACCTCGTTCCTTTTCTTTTCGATTGAATTACTTCAGTTTAGGTGTGTTACCTTACGAATAGGCTACATTACCATTTTTAGAAATTCAGAAATGTAGTCCAATCTTTCGTAAAAAAAAAAAAAAAGGTGCCGTATTGCACCCTCTCCACACTCCCTTAGCCTCAGAGGTGGCCATTGCGAAAGTTTTGACTGTATATTGAAATTACCTTCTAATCTCCCGGACGTCTGCGCTTGATCTAAATTCTGCTGGTCTTCTTCTTACTTGTCGTGTAGTGCCATACCTCAAGTTTTCTTGTCGCATTTCATGAAAATTCAGTGCATAGTCTTGTTCGGCAATTTTAAACTTAAAACAATTTGTGGTGGATGAGAAGGCGTCTTCTATGGGTCTCTGAAGATCGTTACCCTGAAAATATACAAAAATTTTAAATTAGTTATAAATAGTCTTCAGGAACCCTTGCGGACGCCGCTTCATCCTGATTTGTTTGTTTATACATATATGTTTTCTTTTCATTCTTTTTTTCTTAACGATGTGATCGAAATAACGTTTTCTAAAGAGTCTACGTCTTAATAAGTCCAAAAACAAAGCTTAAAAAGCCCAATGAGCTTGTTAAATTATTTTCCTCAGTACTACTTTCTTTTGGCATGTTTTCCATTTCACCCAGAAGTGGCACCTGACATTAAATTTAAGTGAGTCTTACCAAGTAGTCTGAGCCATACGCCAGCCACATGCCATTTTCGTCCTTCCAGTACCAAGTCCACGTTGATGCCAAAGGATTACCAAGATTATCGATGGAGGGTTCCGTGTAGAGCCGCCTAATGTCTGCCAAGACTTCAAAATCTTTCTGCACAAACATCATTTTATTTTCAAACAGGAAATTCACAGGATCCTCTTCATCAAAGAAAAAGAATTCTTCACTGAAAAAGTAGATTTTATGTTAACAAGGATCTGTGTGCCAATTCAATAACATGAACTTCCGGGTACATGATTTAACAGCTTCCTTATTACTGGCTCCTTTCAATAAGGAATTGGCATCTAGAACAGTATTTTAAAACATAAACTAAACTAGTGGATCAGTCTTAATCTAAACATAAGGGGCTTGTCAATAAAGGTCTTTTAAATGGATGAGATGAAAGATTGTACCTACACGATTTAACAGAACGGATAGCTCAGAATGCCTGAATAACTAAGGTTACAAGGAAGTGAGCTTGTAAACCCACATTTTTAGACTTAAGCCTGTATAAATAGTTTAGGCTTGCCTCTGCAAACTGAAGTACTCTGTGTTTAAACGACTCTTCTCAACTCACCTTTCGAAAGACAGCTGGAGGCCAGTGGCTGAGCAATCATCCATCATTGCGTCACAGTACAATTTCTCTACCTTCTCATTGTCAGTCTCGGTAAAACTCTTCCAGACTCCTTCACCCTCAACTCTGTATTGCCAGTGGTAAGGCAACGAACAGTGGTGCCCTGAACACTTCATGCCCTTCTTACACTTTCCCAGAAGGAAATCCGAACAGATAGGTGCATCTGGCTTATCACTGTGAACATGACCTGTGAAAATGAAAACAGCAGTGTGACTGATGAAGAAGTTGCGAGATATGACTGAGCATATTTTCGGACTGATATTGCCACAGGATCATCGATTAATGCAATACCTTTCTGTTGTCTTACAATGACCACAGATGGAAAATCATTGTAAAAAAAGCTGCTCATGACAAATAAAATTCAAGCAAGTGTAACTTTGCACTAATACTGTATCACAAATATTGCTAAATACATGTGCACAATCAAACTTGCGCTTTCTTGGTAAAAAATACCTGTTTCTCTGCTCTGTGCCAAATCGTCAAACAGCAAAATAGCCTTCTTCACTGCGCCTGGTTTCAAGTGATCGATTCGAAAACGCTCCAGAATTGCTCTGGTGTGATCAGTAGTCATGGCTGATTCATGCTCTAAGAGACAACCGCGTCCTTCTCGGGAACACTTTTTTAAGTGGTTGCTACACATGTGAATTCTAGGACAAGCATCGCCACGATCGCAGATACCATCGTTATACTCTACACAAATCAATGGCGAGGAAGACAGCACAAGCCGGCGAAGTTGCTCGTCTGTGAACTTTTCGAGGTTGATCTGAGACAGCAAAGCCTTATCCTTCTCGTTGCAAAATTGATGATTCCGAGGGCATGTTGCTCCGTTAGCACAGGAGTCAGTGATGTAATCTCTACAGATGTGCAAGAATGAGCAGTTGTCTTTCGCACAAGTTCCATAGTGGGCGTTGTTGTAACTGAAGCAGAGCCGAGCCTTTGCTGCAAACGCACTCACTTCTGTAATTTTCCCGTCTGGGTTTTCCAAGATCAGAAAGCTCCCTTTTCTTTTACGAAACCAAGATTCCACGTCTTTGAATCCAGCAGGAAACAAATCAGTACGTTTAGAAATAACTGAAAACGTAACTGAGCAATTGTATTCCTTGCACAAGCACTCAAAGACTTTTCGTTCAGATGGTTCACCGCTGTTCCCAGAGGGAAAGATTTCTTTACGAATAGACCCAATCACATTGGCTATATGATCAGATGGGTCACAAATGGCAATACCAGTAAGAGGTGAATGACCACTCCGCTGATAGCTAATGTTTTTGCTACCAGTTGCTCCTTTAGTCATAGTCGAGGGACTTGTCGTTGACACAGTGCTGGTTGTTTTGGCTACAGAAACAGATGTAAGTGAGAAATGGCTGGGACCACTCTGTTTCTTCTCTCCCTTGCTGTCAACTGCACTGATAGAAGACGACGTACTAGTTGCTGTTGAAATAGTGTCTTTAACAGGGGGGTTAATGTCGACTGAATGTTTCCTCTCGCAGACCAGAAGGGCTCGCACAACTGGCTGAGTGTTACCATTCCTGACCTTCAAGCCATATCTATTGAGAACAGCGGTTGCATGAGCCGTCAGTAGAGCTTCTTCGTGCTCGAGACCGCAAATCGCCTGATCCGCACACTTCTTTCTTATCATATTCTTGCAAATATGTATCTTTCCACAACTCTCTCCAAGTACACAGTGTCCTTCGTTATAGTCAAGACATACTCGAGGTATTGACAGTTGAACGACCTTACGCAGCTGTTCTTCACTAAAGTCAGTTAACTTAAGTTTAGAAATGAACTTTCTGCTCTTATCGTACTCAAAACTGTGGTTTCTTTGACATCTACGGCCAAATCTACAAAACCCAGCAATGTAATCTCGGCACACGTGTATATAAGAGCATTCCTCTTTAGAGCAATGATCCTGGTTAAAACATAATTTTGCTCGTTGACAATGAACGTCCACTTTTACTGTTCCGTCTTCACTTTCCCTAAACAGAAAGCTTTCTTTCCTTGATTTGAACCATGCAGCGATATCTCCACATCCTTCAGGAAACAATTCTTTTTGTTTCGAGATAACAAGGAAAGGGACAGTACCATTGTATTCTTTCAGAATGCAGTCAAACACTGCCTTCTTAGAGGGTGTGTTCTTTTGTGGATCTGGAACAGAGCTGCACGAACTTGAAATGGATGACTTTCGCTTGCGTTCCGCTGGTGTTTCTTCATTTTGAGAGTTTCTAGGGCTATGAGTGGAATCAGACGAATAATCATTTCCCAAGACCCATTTCTTTACCAAATCGTTTCCGCTATCATCAACGGGCAAAACGAACGGATCATTACGTACAGCGCTGGCTTTTCCTGCCCCACTTGAAATACAGAGATCCGCCTTTGGTTTCATTTGTGACGTGGTTTTGGGTTTAAGAAATTTGCAATCATTTCCAGTCCCTTTGTTGCTTAGTTTTGACTCGTGAATCTGATGAAGCGATCGACTTTCATTCGCAGAGAGGAAGTTTTTAGAATCAGGTTTGTTGTCTTCTGAAGATGAGTCTGAGAGGCTTTCTTCCTCCTCGTGTATATTTAGAAACCCGGGATGTTTGTTAGAGCCCGCTGAAGCAGTCGCACAACTCGCCAAGTTGTTGTCGTACTTTGGTATACCCTTCTGTTTCCGCTCTTCCTTTGACTTTAACTGGTCAGGTTTTGGTCCATTCCTCCTCGTGTCCACACTATCATTAGAAACCTCTCTGGATTTTGAGCCCGTATGATAATCGTTTGTTCCACCCGAGTTCGACTTGTGGCTTGCCCCATGCTGTAAACTGTTTTCGTTTGTGTTATTCTGATTGACAAATTTTGTTAATTCTTCGGCTGGCGTAACCGAGGCCATTTCAACGGTAGTATCATCGCTTATGAACTTGCCTTTGTCAAAATAACTCTGCTCTTTCATGATCAAAATACTGCTACAAACAAAGGCAGTGCTCATCGACTGATGTGGCACAAGGTCATACTGCTTCAGTATTTTCTTGTTGTTAACTTCAGTCAGATTATGCAATAGCCCACAACCACAGGGCAATTTTCGCACTACGTTCGGGCAAATATGAAGATATGGACATTTATCCGACTTACATTTATTTCTCAAATACAACTGACAAACCTGTGGTAGACTCCAGGCGATGATGTTCCGTAATGTTCCATTCGGGTGCTTCTCGATTTTAAGGTCTTTGGTCTTCGCTTCGTTGTCGTTGTCGAAGAAATTGTGCGAACGATGGCAATTACCTTCGCAATTTCCCTCGATGTAGCTTTTACAAATGTGCCAGAATTTACATGAACCCCTTGTTCTTCTGCACGAACCTCGTTCAAGGTATTGTTGACAAATTTTCTTTTTCAGGTCGATGCGAACACCTCTGACTTCATCATCAATATCTTTCACCACAACAAAGCGGCCACGGCCGTGATTAATTAGCCAATTCTTCGCATCCAAGTTAGATTTAATGTCTTTCAAAGGCGATGAATCCCTCAAAAGTAACGATAACTCTACAAATCCGCCACTACCACAAATAAAATTGAAAACTTTCTCGACCGAAACATCAGTCGCCATCTTGATTTTGAAACTGAAAAACTTCATGGAATCGAGGTACAGAATTCCGCGAAAACGACAACACTCTCCTAACTTGACTAGGGTGGGGAATATAACTTTCTTTCCTTTCTCATGTTTTTCTTTTAGGGATGGGGTGAGAAGGGATATCAGTTTAATTGTTTTATGGCTAATATAATGAGAAAAAAAGGATATCTTGTCTCGTCTTATTAACTGACCTTGCGTCGAGTACCTCAATATCGCATTGTTCTTTTTTTCTTTTGACAACTGTTTTGGTTTCCAAATAAAACATTGGCCATAGGCCAGCCCGACAATAATTTTCACATCTTTTTCTTCCTCAGATATTCCTTATTTTTAGCGTCATGTCATCATCTATGATTATTATTAAAAGACTGAAGCGGGCCAGAAAATACCGTTTTGTTACTTTGAATGATCACTATAAGTTATGTACATGTACATAAAATACATTTCTCTCCAATTTTTTGGATTTTCATCTTCGGAAGTCTACATTTACCGCTGGACTCCAGGGAGTTATCACAGGGATTTTATACACAATGGTAAGTGTTTATCGAAGTTGTTTTCGAGCTTCCCGCCATCAAGATTTCACTGAAGTCTTCAACGGAGATTAAAATCACGAATGCACATTTATCACGGTTCGCCAGGTGAGCTTCGTTGCGCTTGGAAATTTATCCAAACACATACCTGTTGAACATTCCATCCTGCGAAGATTTCGTGAGTAGGGAATTTAAAACCCATGTCGTGCCGGGAAAGCAGTGAAATTACGCAAGCAAACAGACTTATATAAATATTCGATCAGCGGGCAAATTTGCGTATCGAACTTGTCCCGCTCAACGTTTAACAAGTTCACCACTGCTCCTGCGCCGGGTTCTTCAAAGCTGATCGAGTTAAGATAATTCAGGGATTTTGGAGGTTAAAATATCCATGAAGAGGAAAAGTCATTTCATTCATGCCTATTTTGCCGAGACTTATAAGGCTGGGGTCGCACTAACGCTTTTGGTGTTTACATTGCATTGGACATAAAATCTGTCATCGCATGCTTGCGACAAGTGCGACCCTTTAGTCGCGACCAGACATAAGGCTCATGTACCCAGACATACCTATGTTCGAAGGACCTAAAGATCAAAAAAGCCGATGTCCTCCCTCGAAGCAGGTCATATCTTGTCTAATGGCCTTAAAATAACAATTTTTTGCTTTTCCTCTGTCGCAACGTCAATCAAATCCGAAATATCTGCAAAAATTGGATTTTCGAAATTCTGCAAAGACAACACGTCCCCAGTTTTCTTTACAACGTTACAAAATTCCACTATTCACCTGATTATTCTCAGTATGGGGATTGCTTGTTTTCACCCTTTGGCTCGCAGATCTTTTCCCATCTTTGTCCATCCGACGACGTCGGTTTAAAGTGGCAAGAGCCAACATTTGCCGTTGGCGAGTGTTGTCAATGCATACAAACCAATAGGGTTTTGTACACTGAACAAGTTAAACAGAGATTTTAGAAATGTCGCTAGTAAAACTAGCTCTAGCCTCATGTCTACAAAAATTATATTTACTGCTCTTTTCGCGCGTGAAATATTAAGAGTTGACAGTCTGATTTTAAATATCATTTATGTCGCACAAGTGCGACCTCCATGACTCCGGTGGTGTAAATGTCCCGACATATTTATGGGACATCTTATGACGCGACTTAAAAAATTTAAGGCCACAGTGCAACCCCTTGCTTTCCTTACGTTCAAGACCGCGATATCGCAAATTTTCTTTTCCCTTTAACAACACAGTTTTCGTTTCCAAAAGAAAGACTGGCCCTAAGCCTGCAAGTATAATTTTCTCTTTTCTTCCACAGATAGCGCGGAGTCAATCCCAATTTTTAGTAAACGATCAGACGCAACATCATCATCTATCATGCGCAACTACCTTTAAAAATAAGTCCGCAATGCGTACGAAATTGAGCAGCTTTCTCAGTGTCTGATGACTTGGTGAGTTTCTATTAGAAGAGCTAATATCTGATACAGTTAGTTTTCAATATTGTTCCTGTTCATGTAAAGTAACACAATGCTGAGTGTAAGTTTCTATTATCCATTAGGGCACAAAATTATATTTTTAGTTGGTTGGGAGCAAAATGTTTACTTTACTTATTGTATCTGGGTTTTGTGGGACTGTATTTTCAATAAAGAACACAAGAAGATTTAGTTGAGGTAGGTGAATATGGGGTTGCAAGTGGAAGAATCTAGGGAAAAAAGATAGATGCATAACAAAATCAGAACACAAGCAATACTTTAATGAATCATATGTTGGGTAGTACTCTGAAGTAACATTACATTAAAACTGCTAATACTTTTTAACCCAATAAGAT